GTCTTGCTGAGTTGTCGACCGCTCAACGGGAAGACCCCGGCATAGGACAAGTGTGGACAGCTCTGAGTAATGGGAATAGTAACCAAGTTGACAAGACCAAGCAACCAACTTGCTCTTTGCTGTTGAGAGAGTGGGACAGGTTAAAGATGCAGAAAGGAGTGATGTATCGCATTGTAACTCCTCCAGGAAAATCACGCTGTTCTCAGTTGGTACTACCAGAAAAGTATAGAGTCCCTGTACTGAAATCACTGCACGATGACTCAGGCCATTTGGGCCTCGACAAGACATACGGCTTGGTAAGAAACCGGTTCTACTGGCCTCGGATGAAGTCAGAGATTGAAGAGTATTGCAAGTCTTGTGAGAGGTGTATAAAGAGAAAGACTCTACCCAAGAGAGCTGCACCTTTGTCGCATTTGCAAAGTGATGGACCGTTCGACCTCGTTTGTATGGACTTTCTGTCCATAGAGCCTGATTCGAGCAGCAAAGAAAATGTTCTGGTCATTACCGATCACTACACTCGTTATGCTCAAGCTTTTCCAACAAAAGACCAGAGAGCCTCTACGGTTGCAAAGGTGTTGCTGGAGAAGTATTTCGTTCATTACGGACTGCCACGGAGGATGCACAGTGATCAGGGCAGAGATTTTGAAAGTCGTCTTGTTCATGAAGTGTTGAGTTCGCTTGGAGTTGAAAAGTCAAGAACGACGCCCTATCATCCTCAAGGAGACCCTCAACCCGAGAGATTTAATAGGACGTTGTTGGACATGTTGGGGACCCTGGAACTGAACAGAAAGAAAAAATGGAGTCAGCACGTCGTTCATTTGGTTCATGCTTATAATTGCACTCCAAATGAAGCTACAGGTTTCTCTCCTTATTTCCTTATGTTTGGGCGTGAAGCTAGGTTACCTGTGGATTTGTGTTTCGAGACTTCTAGTGATGGCACACCACAGAAAACTTACCTCAAGTACGTTTCTGACCTGAGGAAGGAGTTAAAGGCTGCCTATGAACTAGCAGAGTCCATCGCTGCCAAACAGAATGAGAACAATAAGCAGCGGTATGACAAAAGAATCAGGTTCGCACAGCTGCTACCAGGAGACAGAGTCTTGCTACGAAACCTCGGGTTGCAAGGGAAGCATAAACTGGCCGACCGCTGGGCGTCAAAACCATATGTTGTGGAAAGTAAGATGCCGAACCTATCAGTGTTCCGGTTGAAACCTGAAGATGGTGATGGACCAATCAAGATCCTCCATCGAAATCACTTACTGCCTCTTGGGGAGAGGATATGTCTAGACTCTGCATCCCATACGGATCTCACCCCTACAAGGAGAGTCTTGCGACGGAGGAAACAGAAAGAAGGCACAGACAAGCCTGGAAAGGAAAAGACACTATCGCAGAGAACGGCAGATAAAGACTCTGAAAGGGAAGGAGTCACACCCGGTGATAAAGATGAGAAAGAGTACACTGACTCCGAAGATGAGGATTTTGGACTTTGGTGTGATCTGACTGTTGAACCTCTCAGGTGCAACATGGATAGTGATACTCTGGAACCATTCAGTCTGGATTTGGGTATTTCCTTAAGCGACGGAGCTGAACAACCAAAAACAGTTGGGCTGGGAGTAACACAGGAATGTGTAGAGGAACCTGAGACGGACAGTGTAGAGGACTCTGAGTCTATTGAGACAACCGAAACGAACTACCAGAGACTGGCGAGAATCGCGAAGAGACTGGCAAAGACAAAACACTGCCTGAAGACACTCTCTTGCAAGAAGAAGATACTGGACTTAACTCTGAGACTAATCCTGATGTTGACATTAAGGCCAGACCTCAGAGGTTAAAGAGGGCTCCTTTGAGGTTAACTTATGATGAACCAGGTCATCCCAGTGTGGTAGCCGCCACTACAATGAAATATGTCTCTTGTTTGTATAAGTGGATAGGAACACCCATCTTTGCTTAGTTGTGTGTTTTACTCACCTGTTGTGCCATAATGGTTTATGTTTTCAAGGTACAAAGTCATGAGGGCATGCTTTTCTTTGGTGGGGGGAGAGTGTAATACTCTGATAAATATCAGTGGTATTTATTTTGTTTTCATGAGAATAAGTTAAAGAGAAAATAATTGTTCATGGTGAGGTTAAGAGTGGTATAAATATGTGATATAAATGTTTGTATTAAAATGCATAAATAGTGTTACTTTATAATCAGTTACTTTAAAAAACCATAATTTCATGGAATGTGAAAGTCTGTTAAAAGAGAAGAAGTGTAACTTGTTTTGTATGCTACGTCACGAGAGGTCATGACTTGCAGATGACTTCTGGGGGCTCGAGCCAGGATTGTATGTAATTTTGTTATGACTGACCTGGTTTTCCGTTATTCACCAAAGAGAGGGAACTAATTTTTTTTTAGATTGCTAAGGAAATTATTTTCATTGTCAAGTGTGGTTACATTTATTGTGAGATCTCTTACTGTTTGAGCTAAAAAAAAAAAAAGAAAAAGAAAAATGGAAGCGGTTGAAATTGAAGCTTGGTGCAAAAGGAAGCAGTTAGCTTATGGACATGCAGTTGTTTTGAGTGAAGTGAACCCTAGACTGATATTTATTTTTCGAGATGTATCTTTTATCACAGAATGTTTAAGTAGAGTCAAGACTGCACCCGAGGGCATAAGGGGGGAGTCTTGTCACACGAGCCGGTGGTAAAAGTGTTACACAAAACACTGGGAAACTATGGACGGCGACCTCAGGGAGCACAAGAGAAGAGACACACACAGATGAGGGGACGACACGACACTGACAAAGAGAAACACAGGGCTAAAATACACTGAGGGATAACGAGGGCATGGGACACAGCTGGGAGGAATCACACTTGACGAGACCAAGGGGGCAAGGGACCGTCAATGTAAAATGGCATGAAAACAATGGGAGCACAGAGAACACACAAATAACAAAAACCCAGAAAACTCTAAAAAGTTATAAACGCAAAACATAAACATGAAGTCACTAGACTCTAGACCGTGACAGAAAACAATACGAGGAGCAAGTGTTTAGGTCTTTCCTAGACTACGCTGATTTATAATAGGCTGAAAGGTTATTTTAGATTTTATGTTCATGTATTCTAAGTACAATAAATACATGTTGCCTACCCCATCTTTAACGATTTTGTGTTTTTCTATTAAATGTGTTCTGTTATTTTGCTGACAGGTTGTGAGACGTTTGACATCTTATCTGATCAAGAAAGAGAGCAATCACAAGAAAAGGTAAAATGAAAAGGAAAACAAAGGTGCCTGAGAATATAATCCAAGATCCCTGAAGAAGAATTTCAGTGTATTATTGCTAGCAGTCTTGTGCATATACAACAATAATATTAATATTTTCTTCCCATAGTTTTGATGACAGAGATGGAGAGTGCTGCCTGAAAACTGCAGTAATGCTTCTTGGTTCTGTCTGCTGTATTACAAAAGACACAGAGTTCGGGGATCTTCCTCTTCAGTTCCTTGATCTAGTCTGTGTGATTGCCGAGGCATATGGCCTCACTGATTCCCAGGTGTGACTTACTTGTCCAAGTTCTCACTTTAAGACACACATATGTATATATATATACAGAATAAGTTGACATGGTGTGATAAGTTTTTTTTTTCATAATATCTTCATTAATTTACAGACAAGAAAGATAATTCATGAAGAGTCAGTCAGGGGCACATTACAAACAATGAGGGTATGGCAGGCAAATACCTTCCCCAACAAACTGCTTAATAAGCAGTCCGTTTTGCAGTCTTCTCTACCCAGTGAAATACAGGTAAGCAGAAATTAATGTTAGTAATATCTTATTATCTTTTATGGTTTAGTGTACATATTGTTCTTCTGACATCAATTAAGTAGCTACTAATAGAAGGGGGAGGGGAAGTAGCTCATTTTACTTACAAATTAAGGAATCTGTCTAGCAACCAGTTCAGATAACATAAGTCCACCTTTCCATCTGTCTTTTTAACCACCACAACTCAAAACTAATGATTTTCAGGAGCTTGACAAAATAAAAAGTAAGACTGAACTTTTTACATTCGGCCATGTGTTTACGCATTATCATAATTCATTTCATAATATAATTAAGGACAAAAATGCACCTTTTACAATCATGTACAATATATTAAGCTTGGTAGATACTTTTTAGTAGGCTGGTTGAACACCAAGAGATAAACACTGGAAGTTTGGTGTTAAAAAATATTTTGTACCATATTTTTTTTGAAGGTAAGTAGATTCATAAACTCACTCTTTCTTTGTCTCAACAAGAACACTGAATGAGTTTGCAAAGAACCTAATTGATTCTGGGATACAAACAATTATGCCATTAGGTTAGTACTCCCTAAAGTCTGTAACTACATTTAAGATTATGTCCAATGGCCAACCTTCATTTATCTCAAAAATTCTTGAAAGAGTAGTTGTAATACAGCTAACAGATCATCTACTGAGGAACAGCTTATTTGAAGAGTTTCAGTCAGGTTTCAGAGCTCATCACAGTACAGAAACAGCATCAAAGAAGTTTACACTTATGATCTCTGTTAGTAGGGATGGGTATCGTTTAGGTTTTATCCGATACCAGTACCAAACCGGTACTTTTGAAACAGTGCCGGTGCTTAAACGGTGCTCGAACTGGTGCTTAAAGAATGGAGAACACAAAATTGGTCCAAAAACCTCTCATGTTCAGCTGTTTTTTTTTGTAAAAAGATAACAATGTTAGCCTTTTCTGCAGCTACTGGGGATTTATGGCATCACTCTTGGCTGGAAGCAGTACTTAATCAATGGAAAAAACACAAACTTTGTCCAAAAACCTCTCATGTTTAACTGTTTTCCACATTTTCATTGGTCATTTTAGCCTTTTTGGCCAGGGTGAAGGGAGTATCTGCCATCAAACAAGAAGGCAGCCGCATGTAACTACGACTGTGTTTACTAGTTCACCTTACATGCATTAATGTAATAATGTGGTTAGCCTACTCAACCTAAAGTACACACGAACAACATTAAGCTACTCACGCAGAGAAGAACGGCTGCTGCTGCATCATCATCCGTCATCATTTCTGCTACACTGGCAGGGCTAGGGGCCAGGACTCTCCTCTTCGGGTTTTTGGGGGATGTTGCTAACTCCGGGTCCGATAACAGGCAACCCATCCACAGTAGATGTGCCCGGTGTGAGGTCTCGCAGCGAACTATCAAATACGGTGCATTTCTCGGCTTTTAACAAAATGCTATACGTCGCCAGGTGTTTCATCAGATTCGAGGTTTTACCTCCTTTGCACAGTATCACCTTAAAGCACTTGTTGCAGGCTGCTGAGTTTACATCTTTTGCTGTGAAGTACAGCCAGACTTTGACCACTTCGCCCTGGGCATTTTTAATCTGTAGCTTTGCTCTAAAAGAACGTACGTACCTGGGGCCCCTACGACAGTGGGAAGGAAAAACTCCCTTTTAACAACAGGAAGAAATCTCCAGCAGAACCAGGCTCAGGGAGGGGCGGCCATCTGCTGCGACCAGTTCGGTGACAGAAGGAAGACAGTACAGAAGACATGCTGTGGAAGAGAGCCAGAATTAATAACAAGTGTGATTCAGTGCAGAGAGTTCATAGTGTGTCAAAAAGGTGGCTGAAAAGGAAAAACTCAATGCATCATGGGAGTTCCCCGGCAGCCTATGCCTATTGCAGCATAACTAAGGGATAGGGTTGTTTTTTTTTAAATTGCTCTTTCTCTGGATGGGTTAGGGGGATGGATTTTATGACCTAGGGAGTCACCTACACCCACAGTGTTTTAACTGTCACGCACACACATCCACACGCACACTCACTCATGTGCACTCACACATACACACAGGTATGCGTACACAGTCACACACGAGCACTCACGTAGACACGTGGGAATGCGTACATGTAGGCATTCATGTGCTCGTGCACATAGATACAGACACAGAGTTTGCTGCACACCGTGGGGAGTTTTATGATGGGGACACCTCTATAAAGCTGGCTGTAACTAACAAAGGGGTGAAGATTTGCAGAGGGACACCGGCCTGGCAAGTCTTCCCTTCTAGAAGATGCATGCTTAAATGAGGATAAATGAAGAAGAGTAAAGATAAATGAAGATGAGTAAAGATGAATAAAGGTTTTGTGAAAATGACTACTGAGTCCGGTGCCATCTCTGGATGCTCGAGGAATAAAAAGAACCAAGGTAAAACTGATTTCACAACACAGCCTAAGCAGAAAAGTCACGACCTCCCCCTCCCCAGCCACCTCCGCTAGCTTATCTGGGGGAACACCAAGGCGTCCCCAGGCCAGCAGAGAGATATAATCTCTCCAGCATGTCCTGGGTCTGCCCCGGGGCCTCCTCCCGGTGGGACATGCCCAGAACACCTCACCCACGAGGCGCCCAGGAAGCATCCTTGTCAGATGCCCCGAACCACCTCAGCTGGCTCCTTTCGATAGAACTTTTAAGCTCAGCTCTCTCGTCACCACAACGGAACGGTGCAGCGTCCGCATCGCTAATCCGTCTGTCGATCTCCGGCTCCCTTCTCCCATCACTCGTGAACAAGGCCCCGAGATACTTGAACTCCTCCACTTGGGGCAGAAACTCATCCCCGACCTGGAGTGGGCACTCCACCCAGATTGAATGTTAAAAATAAATATGAGTCAGTGGCCACTGGTGGTAAGAGAAATGGTAAGCAAGTAATACGAAATGCCATGACCTCGAATGATGGATTTTCAAGGTAATCTTATATTGGTCATCTTTCTTTTTATACTAGTCTTAAAATACCATTAACAAATGTATTACCTGCAGCAAATTTGGGGAAACTGGAGACATTTTAACATC